CTCGGTAATTGAATTGCACGATTAAACACACATCAAAGAGCCCGTGTCTCGTTAATAATGCATTAAGATGCCCGGGCTTTTGGGCTGTTCTGCTTCCTGTGCAGAGAAGAAATCGGCGGCTAAGCGCTGAGCAAGCTGCGACCTGGTCGCCTCAACCACGCCTAGAATTCTTGCGCGAGGAGTGCTAGCTACTAGCCAAGTTAGCCTGCGGGTTGTAAACACGACACATATATGCTATCAGGGGTCAAGAACGCGTTCTAAAAAGTTTAATAAACCCGGTAAAAGAATAAATCTGATGTTTATCAGGCCAGTGCTTTTTCCTGATGTTTCCCAGTCGGCGAGCTAATTTGAAAACATATAAGACGAGTATCTCGTCCTGACGTTTTAGCAGCACGGAACAGAGCCTCACCAAACCATTCCATACGCCCCCTCGCCGATGTACATCAGGTCCGTATAGCGGGGTCCCACGTCGAAATTTTGCCCCTTCACCGACTCCAGGCCAGGTTTGGACCCCGCCGCCCCGGTCGCTCCGCCGGGTGCCGTGGCGTTTCCAGGCCCAGCGGCTGCGCCGCTACCGGTGGCTGCGGCTCCGCCGACTGTCGCAGCGCTGTTGTTCGAATCTGCCATCGTTCCTCTAAGAAATAACAACCGTTTAACGCTTCTTCCGCAGATACAAACGTTGAGATTCAGGCGTGCGGGTATTCCTCGGAAAATACAGATTTATAAGCTACGGACTTCGCGAGATTTACTCCGCTGGGTCCGTCCGTTTCCTTGACAGACGCCGCGAACGCTGCCGAGGGGCCTGCTCTGTATAAACGCGCTCCGATTCCGCGCTGAAACGCGCCCGACAGGCTGGAGATGTAGCCGTGCGCGTCCACGACGAGGCAGATCGGAATCGACGATATGCGGGCACGAACGCGCCCGAGAAACAAGGCCGAGCGTGAGAGTGGGCGTGCCACGCCTACGGGAAGGCGAGGACTCCGCTTGGCAAACAGCGAGCCTGGGTGGTCATCTTTCAGCAGGTACTCATGCTGTATTACAACATGGCAGGAGTAATGGTGATGACGAAAATGCTACCATAAAATTCTGCCTCGCCTGCATTACATAAAATAACGATACTCATAAGTTATGGTTCATTAAGTCATTTGTTAAATACGTGATTCACCATAATCTATGTCATTTTTATGATTTTTTAAATGAAACGTATGAAATATTGCATTGTTCATATGCAGCATAAATGTCATCATTAAACCATTGTGTAATGTAGATACACATAGCCTCCACAGATTTATCCATGCAATGGTGAGATAATTTCTTAGATAAAAATAATTAAAATTATAACGGAAAGGTTTCTAGCGTATGCATTTCTCAGTGAGCTGACACATCTGTGTTTGCTTTTTATTAGCATAAACACTTCTATACACAATCAGTTGCTTTGAGTTCCTTGAATGTAGCGAGAAACTGACCAGTGTCTCGGGGATATTTCTAGCCAATTCGTATGGGCTTTTAGGTGAATTGATTTCCATTATTGAAAAACCATTATTGAAATAATGCATTAATAATAAACAAGTGGAACAGGGATTATAAACAGGTAATGTTTTTTATTAAGTCTTCCAGCTGTGCTAGAAACAACATGGTCAGCATTTTAGACCATACCAGTTAAAGCCAGACTTGGCAGCTGCTGGTCTCTCATAATGGTAATAAATTAGGATTTTTTTTGGCAGGAATAGAGCGTGCGGGAAATAAGATTCTGTGTGGATTGTGCGGCAGACACTGGCTGGTGTCAAAGTGCTAAAAGGAGGTGCTGAGCTCTCAGTGGCTCCCTGAATAATGGGCAGGCTCATCATTCAGCCATTAGAGTCTGCAAGCCAGAAGTTAAAGGCTGTCAGGCATGTCACTGACGTTTCACCATTACTGAAAGTGACTAATTATTTACCTGTTTTCTGTATCGCTTTCTGTCCAAGCCTTCTGAGGATTACACACTGTAGGTGATTACAATAACAGAGAATATTAAGCCTGCTTTCAGTAACAGCAGAAGTTGTATTGTTACTAGGGTACTTTGAACAGTTTAGTTAATTATAGCTTTCCTAGAATAAATTATAATGCATTAAAAAGTAAATCATATATCCTACAGTACCAACTTTTCACATTTTCTGAAGGCTGTCAGGAAATCTAACCACCGGTCAGAGCCACTGGTAAGTGACAACAAATTGAACAAATTAAAAAAAATTTATGGACAAGAAAGTGAGCTCATTAAGATAGGAGGCTCTTTCTTACAGCCCCTGCATTAATCTGACACTGTGATATGTTCCATGTGTGTTTGACCATGCTGACAAATGGCCAAACAGTCCAAGGTCATTGAGAATGCTGTAACTTTTGCAGACCTGTTCCTCAAGGGTCATATTGACTGTGGCTGAAAAACAAAACTCATCTTGTGCAATCATGAAATCACTGCTCCAAGTAATGATCAGTACTACTTTAAATGTTAGGAAACATGTACCACAGGGTCTAGAAAGGGCCTTAATGTTTTATTTTTTGTTTAATGTTTTATGTTTTTACATGGAATTACACTTAAAATACAAAATATGTAAGTCTCATTTAGTACTAAATATCCATCCATCCATCCATTTTCCAAACCGCTTATCCTTCTGGGTCGCGAGGGGTCCGGAGCCAATCCCGGAAGCTATGGGCACGAGGCAGGGAACAACCCAGGATGGGGGGCCAACCCATCGCAGTAGTGCTAAATATATAATCCCATAATTAAATATTAGTAATGAGCTACAAAACATGAAATACTTCAGAATACCTCCATCTATATAAATGGGTCAAGTGACTCATTTAAATCTGTTTATCAGTCTTTCTGATGCCTGCCAGTGTTTATTTCTTACTTAACAGGCTTATTGACTTTTAGAGATGTAGTGTTTCATGGTTCTGTATAGCTGAATGTGTTTCACAATCAAAATTAAATATGTAACATTAACCCAGGAACTAATTTAGCTCTTATTTAGGAGTCAGGAACCAATGATAGGTCAGGATCAGATAGATAAATGTTGAAATGTGTAAAAGGAATTTAATATTATCACAAATGACAGTGATTACTTAACTATGGTGGCTCAGTGACTAGCGCTGTTGCCTTACACCAGTATTTCCCAAGCTGGTCCTCGGGGACCCCCAGACCGTCCATGTTTTTGCACCCGTCCCAGCTCCCTACCGGGTTCCCTACCAACTCTACCGGGAGCTAGAAGGGAGCAAAAACGTGGACTGTCTGAGGGTACCCAAGGGCCGGGCTGAGAATCACTGTCTTATACCTCCGAGATTGGAGGTTCTCATCCCTGTGGATGGGGTATTTGTATGAATTATGTGGCTTTCTTCTGTAGGTCCAAAGCCATGCAGTTGGGTTATTGGATTGGTATCTTTTCCAGGATGTACCCTTGTCAGGTGACCCTGTCACTGACTTAACCATATGCACACTGGTCTTTCAGCCAAACCCCTCCCACTGAGAGAGCCTCTTGGCTTTAAATGCTGCCAATGAATAATTTGTACACTGGACTGAAAACAATGCTAGAGCTGGAACTTTCTCTTTGTTATGTAGCCAAGCCATTGACAGCATGAATGTGTGTTGATTTGCTACCCATTGATAGCATGGAAGCAGGAAAAATGTATCTAGGCTGCTCAGGGACTAGAGTCAGATCCTAGAGCTTTCAATATTCAGAAATTACACCAGAATTTCTGATAAACCAAAACTGATGTCTGTAGTTTCCTAACCCTTTTTTATGCTCAGGCCTTGAATATTGATTAATACAATCCATCCACCTATCCTTCAGCCATTTATTCAGATCGGGGTCATGGGTATAGTTGCTACCCATCCCGTATTGTACAGGATCTGCCCTTATCGATAAGTAAAATGTCTGTCCTGTTTTAAACCAAAACAGGATACAATTTGTCCCTAATTGAAATACAGTTTACTGTGCGATCAATCCCCCCTCCCATCCAAATTTCATTGTCAGGCACCCGGAAATGGGGGGTGGCAGTGTTCCTTATTTATTCAGATTTTGAAAGTGACAGGCCTAGTTGTGGGATCCAGAAGCTTATCCTAGGCAGCATAGGGCACAAGGCTGGGGTACACCCTGGATGGGATGCCAGTCAATCACAGGGCACAAGGCTGGGGTACACCCTGCATGGGATGCCAGTCAATCACAGGGCACAAGGCTGGGGTACACCCTGCATGGGATGCCAGTCAATCACAGGGCAAAAGGCTGGGGTACACCCTGGGCAGGATGCCAGTCTGTCACAGGGCACAAGGCTGGGGTACACCCTGGGCAGGATGCCAGTCTGACACAGGGCAGAAGGCTGGGGTACACCCTGGATGGGATGCCAGTCCATTGCAGAGCACAAGGCTGGGGGACACCCTGGGCAGGGTGCCAGTTCAATGCAGAGAACACACTTACAAAATATCAAGGATATACACAAACTGAACAATGTTTATTATCTGTGCTTGAAGCGATGAAGAGCCACTGTGGGCATTGTGAGTGACCCCTTCCCACCATTAAGAAGCTGTAACCTTTGGATTTTAGCCACCTTCCTTTCCCCCTCCATCTGTCACAGACTGGGATTTCTCACCTTAGCTTCCTCTGTTTCTTATCTCATCCGTGGTTGTTTACTTCTGCCCAAATGGGCCATAAAAACAACAACTAAAATAACAGACAGCTCTTTCCCTGCAAGAGAAATGTCTGGTTTTGCTCAAGCAAATCAAGAAAAACACATTTTCGTTCACTTAATGTTTATAACGTTTTGCATATGATTTTGCTAGATATGAATAATGTAGTGTTTTGAGACCTGACATCAAGGGCATAACTTTTAGTTTAGCCCTGGGGGGTTGAGGTCTCCACCTATTTAAATGGGTCCGGGGGGGGGGGGGTTGTTTGGGTGTTTGTTTTGGGGGGGGGGGGGGGGGGGTTACAACCCCCCCCATCCCCTGCATAATTAACGCCCATACTTGACATCCGTTAGATCAAACTTTTTACATGCACTTGGACACGGTAGTCCAAGGTAAAAACATGGTAAAAACAAAGCCATAACACCACAATTGGGCAAGTGTATTCACCCCTTACAGTGCGCATTATATTGCATTGAGATTTTATCAATCAAATTCAGTATCATGTGCAAAGCTCAACATGACTTTACAGATTAAACTGATCAGGTGATTAAAGTCATTAATAGAATTCTTGTAGATCAATAAAAATGAACTACTGTAGTATTTCCCTGGAACTGCCTTTGGTGCAGAGAACATTCCCGTATGCAAAGACAACCATTAGCATAACACTAGTAATATTATCTTCATGACCTTATGGTTAAGAGATTAATAGTTACTAATCTAGTGAGGCATATAACATTTCTGAAAGACTTAAATATGCTGTAAATAGCAGTAAAAACCATTATAGAGAAGTAGAGTTAATATGGTACCAGAAAAACCTAGCTGGAAGACCATCTCACCAAAATGAATGACTATCCAAGCAAGAAGCTCATCATGGAGACTGGCAAAGGCAAACCTTGACATGCAGGAAATGTCAAAAGAATGTGGAGTCTTTGCTGCAGCTCCTTTTCACATCTGAGCTGTGCGGCAGAGTAAGAAGAGGACAGCCATTTCTCACAAAAAGAACATCCAGTCCTGTCTTAATTATGCAAGAAAACTAACTCTGCTCCTTGAAAAAATCTGGAGAAAATACTGTCTGGTCTCTGGAGACCATTTCTTAAAATCCTCATTCCAAAGGATACGTCTGATACAAAACCAATCAACCACAGAACACAGTTCCTGTTGCATGGCGGTAGCAGGGTAAAGTTATGAGGCTGCCTTACTCCAGCAAGACAGGCTCAAAGGGGGTATCCCATCGCAGGGCACAAGGCTGGGGTACACCCTGGATGGGATGCCAGTCCATCGCAGGGCACGAGGCTGGGGTACACCCTGGGTGGGATGCCAGTCCATTCCATAGCACACACTCACTTTAAATAGCTCAAAATACAATAAGCAAAACTCAGCTGAGTTAAAGAGATGCACTAATGCAAGCAAAGCCAAAACAAGTATGAAACAACTGGCAAAACAAGCTTAAAGCAAAACATCAGTGTCAATGTCCATGAATGGTTCAGTCAGAACCTGGAACCCGGACTTGAAACTCTGTAGAAAACTTGAGGACTAAGAGGAGTTTGCATAATAATGTGGGAGAGTTTAAAAACCCAGGTGTGGATGGTAAAGATATATCCAAACAGATTCAGTACTGTTTCGTTTCTAAAGTAAAAAGTGCTTTTACTACAAATGAATTAAAGTGTGCAGATTTTTAAAAATAAGGGATCAAAAATGTTTTATCAATAAAATATTCTTTGCTTAAATATTAACAGTAAAAATGGTGGAAAAACACTCAATTTCAAAATGGGTATGTAGACTTTTGAGGTCCACTCTAGACACATTCCTTTCCTTTGTAGAAGATTCAGTCAACAAATATACGGCCTCTAAAAGCCAACACGTGTGATCTGTTGTTCATTCCTTCAGTGTCATTGTACAAGTGTCTGTCAGGCTGTTTACATAAGAGCAAACTGCTACTATTGCACCCTTCCACCTGCATACTTACCCCATACCTCCTACTGGGAAGGCAGAGGGCGCATAAACACAGTAAGTCTGGCATACTTTAAGTGAAAGGCAGGGCAGAGTGGTGGAGAAAGGCTGTTATCCAAAAGAGTTTTTTTAATAACATTAAGAATGACACAAAATGAAAGTGAAGAACTTTCAGTTCCTCAAATTGTCCAGAGGAAGTGTCTTTATGTGCCTGATTTGTTTGTATTTGGTTCTAAACTAATGTTGAACTGTCTTGATGATACAGAGTAACATTATGGACTTGAGAAGAATCAGAAAATTTAAATTTTCCCAAGGGAAGCTGTATATGTGCACAATTACATGTAATACATTTTATTCTATTGGTCATGATGCTTCCTTATAAAGGGACGGTTGTTAAATGTGGCTGTGTTTGTTTACGTAGCTGTGAAGAGAAATGAGGGGCAGGGGCCTGTAGGTTGGTGTGAGGCAGAGTGGATGGAAGTGTGAAGGTATTACCATTTGGTTAACGTGCGAACACCGACCCACATATAAAAAGCAAGGATACCGAGAAAAGGGCATTTGTGCGAAGAGCAAGGAAAAGGACAGACGTACAGTGAAACAACATTTCCAAAACAAGGATTTTGAAAGCCACAAAACTGAAGGAATCTTTCATAAAGTACCTAAATGAAAGACAATCTGCATTAAGACAAAAAAAACGAAAACAAATACTGTGAGTAGTAGGGGACTGACAGAGGAACGCAAACTGTGCGAGGAGGCACTGAGAGGGCAGGAGAAGAGGAACCTGGGATGTTGGGGGTGGAAATGTATCCGAGTTTGGCCATGGGGCCCCAGAGACTTACAGACTGCTGCTATAGAGGTGAGTGCCAACAAGGCGGAAGAGCAAGGGAGACTGCGGTCACTTCGGCGTGTTACATGTGTCGGTACAAAGACCTATCCCTCTTTCACAACTGCGTTTCCAGTGCAGGGTAATGTGCATTGGTGACTGATTCAATTATTTTCCAGTTTGGAGGACTTAATTGTGGTTATTTCCTATGCAATACTGCTTAATACTCAGGCGTGGCTCATTGGGTTAGGACACTGTACCAGTGATCAGAGGGTCCAGTGGTCAGCAGACTCATTTCACCACTGGGTTCTTGTGCTAGGCCCTTAACCCCCTAGTTGTTGTAAGGATTGTCCTACCCTGCTTTCTGAAATGTATGTTGCTGCGGATAAAAGCATCCGTTAAATGGATACTTATAAAAACTAGCATAGAAGTATATTACATAATGAAAACTTCTCATAGAGTGTTCATTTCTTTTTAAATGTATGCCTTATGAAATGTGTATTTGTGGTGTAGCTGTTGTGTAACATAGTACAATCATTGTGTGAGTACTGGCACTGATCGGTGGCTCATTCTGGATTGCAGAACGGGAGACACCATCGCACCTGCCGCTCTTCCCCACCACGTGTGAGATGGCAGTCAGAGCTGCGCCCCAGCGCATGCTCGCTCCACCTGTTCCCAGCGAGGTGAATGGGAAAGAACAAGGCACCGTTGTCATGGAGCTGGAAAACTCGTCCTTATGGAAACAATTCAGCAGCATAGGGACTGAGATGATTATTACGAAAACAGGCCGGTAAAGTAACTGCTCATCTGCCCACATTGCAGGATTAGGTCCTGATATTATTAGCTACTATTAGCTTATTAGAATAACCCTCAGCATCATTAGACATTCACCATCTTCTCCTCTCTCATTGGCTCTTAGGCTTTGGCCTTTCTGTGTCAGCGTGAGCCCTGGACTCACTGTCTGTCTCTGTCTCTCCCAGCCGAATGTTCCCCCAGCTCAGAGTGAAGCTCTCTGGGCTGAACCCCTCTCTGCGCTACATTCTGTTACTGGAAGTCATCCCGGCGGATGCGTCAAGATACCGTTTCCAGGGAGATTCCTGGCAGGCTGTGGGTGGAGCGGAGGCCCGCCTTCCCGATCGTGTGTTCATCCACCCGGACTCCCCTGCCACGGGCACACACTGGCAAAGCCGGACCATCTCCTTCCACCGTGCCAAGCTGACCAACAACACACTGGACACACGGGGACATGTGAGCCTGACCTTTGTCGGTTTGTGTGGCACGTCTCTGTCAACAGTATTCCTAAAAGAGGGCAATACAGAGTATCCAGCACTATGGATATCACTGCTGCCTGATACCTCCTGGGCTGTAGGCTTGATTCCTGCCCCACATCCTCCACAGTCCAAAAACATGTAATTAGGGGAAGTGGAATCTCTGATTTTCTGATAGTGGCTGGCTGTGTGCGAGCGTGTGCCCTCCATTGGAGAGGCATCCAATCCAGTTTTTTTGCCTATTCTGAGATAGGCTATAGGCACTATGACCTCTCATTATAGGTGTGTTGTTAATAATGATAACAACAACAATAACAATAATAAGCTTCATATCATAGTGGTGTCACAGATGTGCATATATATACACACAAGGTACAGCTATACAGTTTCTCACCCAAAGCCCATGTGAAATGTAAATGGGTGGAACTTACTTCATTTTAAAACACATTTTTCATTAGTATTCTCACACTGCACAGTTTTTTTATTGTAATGATTCTTTTATGTATGTCTGCATATGCAGATTTGGATTGTCCTACTGCATACTGTGTTTTGTCCATATTAAATTCATCTTGCAGCTTTCACTTTACCTCCCTCTGTCTCTCTCCTCTCAGATCATCCTGCACTCTCTCCATCGCTATCAGCCGCGCCTGCATGTGATTGAAGCCAGAGATGTACTGATGTGGGGAGGGGGTCGCCATTCCTTTGTTTTCCCCGAGACCCAGTTCTTCACTGTCACAGCCTACCAGAACAGCAAGGTATGTGTAATGCCAGAGCAGGCAGTGCAGTGCTGTAGTACCCAGAAGGCACACAAAGACCCATATGTGAAAGATCTGAGAATAAACACTTGAAGGACAGAGAGAGAAACAAATCATTAATTTATAGAGAAACAAGGCTGAAGTAAATTTGCATATGGTGCCAAACCTAGAATTGTTCTAAATCACTAGGTGTCTCTAGCTTGGCAGCATTTTAGAATCTTGAAAAACGCCGTGTTTGCATTTTGTCCGCACTGATTTTTGATTAAGCATGTTGTCTCAATAGATAACTGAACTGAAGATTAATTCCAATCCTTTTGCAAAGGGATTCAGAGAGAACGGAATGAACAACAAAAGGTAATGGACCCATGTCTTAAGAGCAAGTACACAAATAAACACACAAAAACTGGATCTACAGTCAAGAACTACTAAAAGTAGCCTGTTCTCTCCACACCTCAGAAAATGCAATACATCCAGAAATAGTAGTATTCCAATCCAATAACCTTTTTTGACCTTTCAGCTATTCTCTCAGACTGAAACACAAGTTCTGCTGTTCTTCCTATTGACTTTTTAAAATTCTTTATAATGTCTATAACCTGCAGACAAAGGGAAGCTAGGCTAAAGAGGAAAATAAGCTGCCAGACAAACCAACAATCAGAACCATTAGACGTGGGTAAGTAAAAAAGTGCATTATTTCCTTTTTCCCTACTCCTGTCATTTGGCTTCGCTTGCCATTTTCTCCCTGTTATAGCCACCTTTTCCTGATGATATTTTTTCATGGAACACTCCAAGCTTGGACGCTGTTGTGTTAACTGCAGTGTTATACTTTCTATTTTAATCCTCAGTGTCTTGTGATCCATGTGATTCCACTGAGCTTCTGCCTCAGTCAACAACAGACTGCCAGGAGCTTGACTTGGAGGACCTCCCGATCCCCGACCCTGTCTGTGGCTTCAGCCCAAACGCCCGCGCCTTCCAAGAGGCACCTGTCGCAGGCGAGCCCCTGGACCTTGGCCAGGCCTACCCTACACCTACGATTGCCGAGATCACAGCTCCCATCGAAAGTGTGCAAACGACACCCAGCGCTGATAATGATGGCCTAATTGACAAGTAAGTGCTGTTCAATTACTGCTCAGGATGACTGAAAAGTGTAGTTATTCCACTGACTTCCCTTAGAGGTTTTTAATATTCACTATAAAGCTCCTCAATCTTCTGATACTGAGAATTACTTAAAAGCAAATGTACATGCATGGATTATTACGTAATACTTGGTCTAAACAAGAATGTTTATCATCCAAATGTAACAGAATTTTTCAGTCATTAAAGTAGAGACAGTAATTGAAGATCGTCTTCCTTTACCTTTTTTCCTCTACAGCTCTGCCCAGATGATTCTCCCTTCGTACACTCCGGCATTTCCCGCCACCTCCTCCAGCCCCTCCTCTTTCGCTGCTGCAGCACCTCCTCAGTGTCCAGCCTCCTACCCGCCTGGGCCCAGCACTGTGTCTCCCTATCCATCTCTTTCTGCAGCCTCATCTACCTCACAGCCATCTTCTGCCTCTGGATCATTGTATCCATCAGTGTCATCTTCTTCCTATCCTTCTCTTCTTCCTTCTCCAGTTCCTGCTCCTACTTCCTCTCCTTCACTGCCAGACTCTAGCTACCACTTGTTGTCCCCATCCTCCTCATCACCGCAGCCCCAAGGTCCCCCGTCCATGCCATCTTATCCAGCTCTTACTCAGTCTGATTCTCCACACCCCCTTGTTAGTCCTCCTCCTCCCTCGACCTATCCTTCCCTTCATCCTTCTGTCCCCACCCTCGCACCCCCCTCCATCCTCAGTTCAAGTCTTCCACCTTCCAATGTGCCTTCAGCCGCTAATGAAATAAGTTCTGCCCCCACTTCCTGCTCCTTTCCACCGCCCAATCATGGTTCTTCTTCACTCCCCAATCCAGTTGCTCTACCGTCCATCACCAGCCAGCCTCATCCCTCTATCATCAATTCAACAGTTACATCCTCCATCAATACCCAGTGTAATTCCTTGGTTCTTAACCAAGCTTCACCCACTTCTGCATTTCCTTCGTTTCCTTCCTCTTCCGCTCTCCATGCTTCTCATCCAATTCTTGGTTCCTCTGCCAGTTATGCATTAGCTTCATCTACAGCTTCCTTTCCCACTCTCCCACCAGCAGCTCCATCCCACCATGTCTCCTCTGTTCCTAATCATCCTCTCCCACCAGCTAGCTACCTGCCCTTTGCCTCCCCTACTCCATCCTCCTACCCTTCCTCTGAAATAGGCCCCTTTCCTCAGTTCAACCCCAGTTCTCCTTATCTACCAGAAATGGTTCATCACCCTCCTCTTATGCCTGCTCTGGATCCTTCTCTCCCTTCTTGTCTCCCATCATCCTCTCCTGCTTCTAATTCTCTTTATTCCTCCTTTCCATCTTACCCATTGAGAATTTGTCAGGATCCACGATCCTCCTTTGCAATTCCACTCAGGCACATATATGGACAGCACCGACACGGACACACACATGGTCAGGGAACCTACCTGGACATTGGAGGGAGGAGTCTGTTATAATTTATTATTTTTCAATAGAAAATAGTAATTACATGCAGAAAGAACTTGGGAATGAAGATTATTAACGGGACTAGTTTCTCGTTTTTTGGTTTGTCCTTCTGAATGGCGATATAAAAAACATTAAAAAGTTAATATGAGGATGAGGTTTGTATTCACACATTATAAGGTGTAGTTGTCCAAAAGTTTGTTATGTTAGTTTGCTCAATTGTATAGGGGCATGATAAGAAAAAATAGTTCAGTGAGCTAATAGAAACTTTAGTTTGTTAGGTGTACATTTTTCTTTCACTTTGTAATAGCTTGAATGGCTTGTCAACTGAAATTTAAAAATGCATTTGTAAATTTAATACATTTTTTTTTTACTACATAACTCACTATAAATTCTTAAAATAAAGCATGTTTATTTGAGTTATTTACTGTTTATCACTGTTTTTACTGTACATCATATCAATTTCTGGGGTATGAGCACAATGTATTGAGAAAGCTTTGAGACAATTGGTTTTCATTTTCATTAATACTCTCTCATTTTCACACAGTACAGACAGAAACATATAACATTAGATTAAATACCATGATCATTTCTACTCTGTAGCATCATACAACGTCACTTTCTGAGAGCCCTATGTGTGGTTCTAATAAATCATCTGAAAAGTCTTATGAACATGGGGGAGGAGTCATAATCTGTGCATCATCTTGACCTTTATAATATCCATCCATCCATCCCTTTTCTATACCCACTTGTCCTATGCAGCAGGGTTGGGGCCATTCCGGAATGCATTGATCAATTCCAGTCCAAATCAGGAAATGGAACTGGAGTTGGAACTTAAATCTCCCTGAAATTCAAATTCAACTCCAATTCTGTTCCCCGTAGTTTTTTTCCCCAATCCCAACTCCAGTTCCATTTCCTGATTTGGACTGGAATTGATCAATGCATTCCGGAATGGCCCCAACCCTGCAATGCAGGGCACTTTTATAATATTTATATACTTATATAAATACTTTTGATTCAAGTTTTTCAAATTATTTAAAAATATTTTTTATTTTTTAAATAGTGTCATAGAAAGTATGCTTTCATCTTTTGACGTACATCTCTCTGTTTGGGTTTTGGTGATATATTCAACTATAGAGTGAATTAAGTGTAGGAAGAGAGTGGGAAGTAGGACAAAAGATTTCTCACTTCCAGCAATTTGCCTCCAAAGGGAAAAAAACCTTCCTGGCAAAATACAGGAGCATGAAATTAATTACTTTTTAAAACTTAAAATTTACTTTTTTTTCCATTGTTACTTGTCCTCTGCTTTGTTATTCATGTTTCTTAGGTTGCCCACTGCACTCTTTACAGCAGCTATTAGCTGCACCTTTTTGTTAACACTGACAACTTGATACTCCAAATGGCAAATCATGTGACTGCATCTGAATACATATAGCAGTAAAAAGTCTTCAGGAGATTCAGTTACTGTCTAGTTAAGCATTTGAAATTCTAACATTAGTGAATCAAAGTGATTTTAAATGTAGCCATCTCAAAAACAGCCACCTTACAGTGTCAAAAGTTTACCGACAATGCTGCAATAAAGGGCAAAAACATCTTATTAATGAATGAGATCAGAGAAAAATGGCCAATCTCATTGAAGCTAACAGGAAGGCCACGTGTGGAAAAATAACAGCTCAGCACAACAATGGTGTGCAGGAGGGCTTCTCTGAATGCACAACTCCTCTACCCTTGAAGCAGTTCTGGAGGCAAAAGGGGTTCCAATTAAGTATTAGCTATTGGCATGTAATTAATAAAGCAATCACTGAGTATGTGTGGTTATGGAAAATGGATGGGTGGACAGTTGCTTTGGTCCTCACCTCGTTGTGCTGAAGCCTTGCATCCATTATGCATTGGTAGCTGGGGAGAGTAACTATTTAAATGATCTTGAACACCATGCAGAGCATGTGGGTGGCCTGGTGACTCAGTGGGTAGTGCTGCTGTCTCGCACCTCTGGATACTCTGGCTTCCTCCAGCAGTCCATTGACATGCAGGCAGGCTATTGGCACCTCTGGGAGCCTTATCCCCTACGCTGCCTGGGATGGGTTCCAGCCCCCCTGTGACCCTGACAAGGATTAGTGATGATCTTATTATGTAATCTTTTCATACATCTTTTAACCTCAATAGTCTCTTGTTTAAGGTGATTGCAATTATATACCAGTCATATTAAAAAATGCAACTTTATCCATTTTTATATATTAAGACTTAAACCTACACCCCCATTTCTTGACTATGGCGTTGCTTTTATACTTATTGTTTCTCCAGGGATTTATTTTTTTGTAAATTGTTGATTTCTTTGATAGATTACATTTTATCATTTTGTACTACTAATTAACCATTTAGGGAGCTATTTTCATGGTGAATTTATTTATCACAAAACTCTATATGACCCTTTTTAAAACAATCTGTATAAATCAATACTAATGTCAAACACAATACTTTCATTTGGTTATTTTGATTCAGGGGAATTGCATGGTAACTATTTCATTTATACAGCCACAGATAAAATGAGGAGACCACAGCACAATTTTTGTTTCATTCATTTCTCAATTTATGGGTGTGCGTTTGTGAATAATATGATTTTTTTTTGCAAACTGTAGCCTGATTCTTCTCTGTTTCTCATTAATGAAGGGCTTCTTCCTTGCTTTATGGGACTTCAGCCCTGCTTCTAGGAGCCTGATATGAACTGTCCTAGCAGTGCCCTTCACATCTGCATTTAATGTTTCCCATTCGTGCTGATGGTCACTTGATGTCATCATACGATTCATGAGAAACTTTTGGATAAATTAGTGGTTGTCTCTGGCATTAGAAAGTCACTTCCGCCCTTTACCTGGCTGGTTTCTGGTCGTTCTCAGTGTCTCCTGCTTCACCTTATTCTTGTGTACTGCTGTCAGAAATTTTGAGTGTAGCCTTCTGCCAGTAGAACCACAAATAAACCATTTAAAAATGCAGATTTGATAAAAAATATTGGGTGGTCTCAATTTTTTCCGCAGCTGCACCCATTGCCAATGTAACCATTGCTGAAGGCTCCTATTCTGAGATCATGAAATTTCCATACATGTACATTAACATATATCAAATAAATATTAATTTCATGTTGTTTCCAGTATCAAGTGTGCAAATAATTTGTGTACATATCTGTATTCTGTGAACATTTTTGGTTTCTTGAAGAATAGGGAAAAGATTATAACATTTGTTCACTATTTTGTGTTGAGTGAGGAATGCAAACGAAGAGGTAATTAGTGACAAGGTGCTAATTACTTCTCACTAACCACATTTATCCATTTGGTGACAAATGTTTTCTAAGAAAACAAGGGGGGTAGCGAACAACGTAATAAAAATTCCAGGATTCTGGAGAACAACATTGGTAAGATGCAGCTTTTATTTCATTTTAGTAACAAAACTGGTAGTAAAAGTTAACAGTTTCAAATGAATACACTCAATGTCTTTTTACATGTTTTCCAGCCCAACTTCATCTACAGCAGTGTTTCCAACCTGGTCCCCCAGACAATACACGTTTGGGCTTCTGGCAGGGAGCTGGGAGGGAGCAAAAACGTGGATTGTCTGGGGCTCCCCAAGCACCAGATTGGAAACTCTCACCTACAATATTACTCAAAAAGAAAAGACATCTTGATCTCTATTTTGCCTTTAAATATCTAAAGAACCTCACTTTTATCATCCCCTCCAGAAATGCCCTTTCTACTGCCTGGGCTAAACTTTAGCCATAGTCTCCCCCCCCCCCCCCCCCCTCCCTGTAACTGTCGATTCCTTCACTCGCCTGGCCATTCTCTCAGGTCCTCATTCCCCTTCTCTCTCGTCACACCACCTGCCTCCGGAGCCTCAGTCCCTCATTCAGTCTCCTCCACAGCTCCTGCCTCAGCAGGTCCCGCTCCTTGCGGATGCCCTGCAGGACGGTGCGGTTCTCCTGGGCCCGGCGCACTAAGTAGGGCAGTGTGTCATCCACAGAGCCGTAGGGCACGGACTTGTACACCGAATAACCGTGCTGAGCTAGGTGAGTACACACAGAGCATACAGACTCAGAAATAATATATTTATCACACATCCTGCCATACAATATAATAATGCACACCAGTAAATCTTGTGCAGATTTATTGCCTCTATTAAAAGATTCATTGATAGTTTATTTGTACTGAAGTGTCTTTTTAAACTCCCATAGACATCATAAGTACTGTGCCCTTAAATAGCAATAATGAATTAATTTACCTCACACAATTGCTGTATAACTGGTACTGATAGTAAATGACAATCTAATTCATTCACATTTTATTTATTTAGCAGACGTTTTCATCAAAAGCGATGTACAATTGAGAAAGCAGGGTCAGTAAGTCCCTGGAGCAAGGGTCTCGCTCAAGGGCCCAACAGTGAAATCACTCTGCTAACCATGGGATTTGAACAAGAAACCTTCCGATCACAAGCAAAATGCTTTACCCACTGAGCCACACACCACTCTCAGAGCCACACATTGAAAAACATTACCCAATGTAAGAGAGACATGATCACACATCCCCAGTAGCTGTCCAAAGCACACAGAGCCAGCATGCTTGTCTATCCTCAATTTCACCATCCTAAGGGAGAGATACCAATGGTTTGAAATACAGGTACGAGCAGCCTAACACTATATACTGTCAGAGAGAGAAGAGAGAGAATAAGTTCATATTTGAGGTTGGCAGTATAGTGCATATGGTAGTTCCATCTTACTGTGAAATTGCATGTCTCACTGATTCTTCATTGTGTGTCGCCACAATAATCTGGTAACGCTGAGGATTCTGGGAGATCAGGTTCAGCATGATGTCCATTGATCCATTGTAACTAGAAACCCATAAAACACAACATGACAAACAGACATTAGAAGAATATGCTGAGGAATATCAAGTAACACTTCCATCTCCAGCCTATCGGCACCTCCATGCCCATTTCAGAATGCCCTAGAGGAGGGGGATGAACACCCCTGCACAGACAGCCAGGTGTTCTCCCTTCATGTGGCATCAGGGTAAAGGTAGTTTATCAAAGTTTGCACCAAGTATCCCTGTAATGTCACCGCTACACCTATTATATTGAGCCCCTATCAGACATGCACTGCTACCCTGAACTTTTCTAGACTTTACCTGGAGGGACTGCATGTATGAACACAAATGTCCAAATGTCATACCGGACATTAAACAGACTTTACCCTGCTAGTTCCCTAGTACAAAGGCTAATTTCTAAATGATCCCCATGTGTAAATGGAACAGGGAGAATTCCGGACAATTCACTATGAGCAAGTGGGCGCATTGATGACGTTTGTATCATGTGGCTGGTGCAAAAACAGAAGAATACAAATCTGACGGTGAAGAAGAAGGGTCAGTTACAGAAGAAACCCTAACAAAACATGGGTAACTGGAGAGACTGCATGAATCGGGACCTTCTATCAGCAGTGCTGTAAACAAAACACTTCCATTTCTGCAGGGTGTGTTTTACATCACACCCTGCCTCCTGCATGCTCTACCCAAGCGCCACCCCTTGTCTAATCCAGCTGTACTATTTCTAGCAGGTGTGAACGGGTTTGACACGAACAATCTCCAGTTGTGTGCCACATGTGTGAAAGGGCAACTCCAGAAAATGACCTGACCTGATTCTTCAGACAATGTCCGGAGTTCATATGTGAAAACGGGTTTAACCTAGAGAGGATGTCTCCTAAATAAAACTGGAAAATGGGTGTTTCTTCCTCTTTCACATCTAGTGAAAGAAGAGTCTGCTGCAATCAAGAGTTGCATCATATTTTTTCTATCCTTAAATAAACCAAATACATTCGCAGTTCCTCGGGCACCTGGCATTGGTGTCCTCCCACGACTGATGAATGGGGTCAGGTCTGCCTTCCCCTTTAGCCAGCTTCCTTTCCTTGTCCATGTAAGCTCCTCGCACAAGCTTGACTCCAAGGCAGAATGAATGCTTCACAGATTGACTGATTGCATCAAGTAAAAGAGACCTTGATTCCTGAGCAGGAAATCAGTCATTGAGTAAAGGGCATAAATATAAATATTTACTTCAATCAAATATTCTTATTTTGTTTCCATCTTATAAAATACCATATTAAAAATGACAATTGTAAATTACAGAACAAAACAGAACAAAATGTTAACCATACAGGCAGCTCTTGACTTATGGGAAAAGTTGGCTATTTATTCAATATTCAAGGGCTAGTATATTTTTGCATCACATGTCTATTTTTCTGGTGTCTTGAATAGATAATATGGGAAGATAAATCTGACTTACATTAAATTTTGCTTTTTGCTGATTTGTGGAACACTTTATTTACGTTAGTGAAGAACTGCCTGTATATAGTTACGAAAAAAATAAGAGGAGAGAAACCTTAAGATAGCACTGATACGTGTTCCAGACCCAAGGCTCCTTTTGGTTGAACTTCTTCATCATTGCCATAGTGACCAGGGACAAGGCAGGGTTCATATAGGTGTACTCCGCATCAACCAAAACTCGCACCTTTGAGATACTGGCCTGTTGGAATTGCAGCCACTGTTAAATTCTGTCAGCTTGATACATTGTGTGTTGTCACACATCACTCCCTGAGCCATTGCGAAATAACATAGTGCTGTGTTTTTCTTTGATGCAACAGACAAGAGGGGGCGCTGGAGCACCCTACTGGATACTAGATGAAGGAAATCAGAGTGGTTGGGTTTTAATTGTGATATGTCATAACTACTTGTCTAGTACAAATAACTGCGACCAAAAAAAAAAAGAATGAAAGTATCAATTATAAGCCTATTATAAGTTGTATTGTTACTCTTGAAACAGGTATTAAATTATGATTTTAAAAAATGCACAAATAACACCAGAGAAGTTGTTACCAGTTGTCAAGTTCCTTAATGTTAGGCAATGAAAACCATTGCTATAACTCAGCTAAGAATGATCAGTTATGTATATTAATAAACATCTATTCTGTTGCATACTTAAAAAGATGCTCTATTTGCTGTCACTAAGCTTCATTGCTTCAATTTGGTGCAATTGGAAAAAATTGGACAAAATTTTTGACTTGTCCATATTGACAAGGTCAAGTATCTTTGCTATCACTAGGTGTTATTGCTTCAATTTTGGAGTGATTTGTCTCAAAATTCGATCAGGTCCACATCAACACCCTTCACCATTTTTGCAAAAGTTGTAAATAATATTTTTTGAGTTGTTGTACTAATGAGCTCAAGAATCTGAAACTGCCTTTGTTTGATATCACTGTGTGGTGCTGCCTCAGTTTTGGGTCTGTCTGAAAATTGGATCACTTTTAGGTTGTCACCTTAAAAAAATTGAAAAAGATCTATAAAATACTTTTAGAGTTACTGTGTTCACAAGACCCATGTATCTTCTATAACTGCCATTTCCTTACTTTGCTGCCACATACCACTGTGGCTTCATTTTTGAGGCACTTTGTCTCAAAATCAGGGGTGTTTCTCAATACCAAGAATGCAAATACCATACTTGTGGTCTTCGGAAGACCAGTCTTGCTAACTTGCCTTCCAAGAACCAACTTGGGACACATGGGATTGGTCTCGTTTGGCGAGGATGCAACTGATGTATCCTTGATATTTGGGGTGGGGCAAGAATGACATCCGGAGATTTTTACCGTTCCCATACTTTTGTTCTTAGTGTTAGAACTGGTGTTCCGCAATGGAAGATAACATGAAACAGGTACACGAGAATACAAGTATGGTCAAGTACGCATATTGAGAAACACCCCAGGTGTAGATTGGCATCCATTTGATGTTTGCGAAACAGTAATACGATCCATGAAATTCTTTTTGACTTATCACATTCACAAGGTCAAATTTTGTCTGCTTTCACCTTTCCCTCTGCTGACACTTTTGGGACGAGTTGTCCATTCATATTCGCATGCCTATGCGCAGCTCATGTTATGTAGTGAGCAAACAGTGCCCCAGCCACACTGTATGGAGTCCAGTGCCATGTGGTACATCTCATAAGAAGGGAACTACCCTGAGCAGACAGACAGTAATGAGGATCAATTGGGCAGTGCCAGTCCTTTCCTACCTCTCCAACCTTGTTGAGCCGATGTAGGCCACAGTGGAAATGTGCATTCTCCTCCTCAGTTAAACCTGGGAAGTGGACAGGCTTGGGGAACAGATCAATATAAGTCAATAACTAGAGTAGGAATGACCCATGACATCAAAACACTTATTCATATTGTCTTTTACCTCTCCATCCATTGCTTTGACTAGCTGGGCCAGGTCAAACGGATGTTCTGGCAGATTGGAGGTTATCTTCACCTGAAGAAAATGGAGACATACAACAAATTTACAGGTCACTAAGTTGACAGTCCCTTGGCCATGTGTGGATGCGCGACTCACGCAGAGCTCAGGGCTTAGCAGTGCAGTGATCTTCAGCTGCATCTTAGGATCTGAGCAAGCTTTGGTATGGGACAGGCGCACACACTGCAGCATGGCCTCCAGATTTTCATCGTAGCGACACTCCCTACCACAGAAGATGGCTTTTATGAGACCACTGACAACGCAATCTGAAGGAACAGTGCTAATGACAACCAGTAGATAACATTCCGTACAATATTCATACAGGTCTGTAAGTACAGTAGGCAGTTCATAAGCTGTCTGGTACTATACACAATATCATATGTAAATGTAAAATTAAAACAAACAATGCACAAAGCAAATGGATAAAAAATTAAATTAAGACAATTTTGTTATGTCCTGTGGGTTTTTTCATCAGTGATACAGCAAATGGCAATGAAGCAGGTACTGATAAGCATGTCCACTACCCCTGTTCTTTATCAGGAGGATCCTTTTCCAAGCATAGATAACTAACCTTGACCCCTGAACTCCCTGTCCAGTTTTCATCTCAATGGAGTATCTTCTGTTGTTCATATATTTTGCTTAAAAACACTGTGTTTCTGCTTAACTAATTTACCACATTGCTGTTTTTATGCATTGCACAAGCTGAAGAGAACATGGTTGTAGAACAAGGACACTGAGCCTGATTTTAAATAGTTTTTACACAACAATAACAGTGAAAATGAATAATGCTAATAATATTTAAAAAAAATCAAATAACTCTTGAACCCAGTGCTTATGAATATTTAATTTTATCTGTATAATACCTCTGCCTAAAAGCACAAATGCTCAATACATACAAATAAAAGACAATTAGGAGTGAAACATGCTGAATTGGACAATTGTTTGGAGGATGAATGCTTATGATCAAACCCAGTGCTCTCTCCCAGGTCCTCCTCAATGGGTACTGCCAACATGGTGCGTAAACCCAATGACCTCATCTTCTCCATGGCAACAGCGATTTCACCCTCACTCTCTCCAGCAACGAACTGGGCATAGATTGAGGGGCGCATGATCAGAGAGAAGCCTTGTTTACCCAGAATAGAGCGAGTAGCAGACAGGAGCTGAGGGAGAAAGACAGAGAGCAAGAGCTGTAAAGACAAGCGAAGAATGCCGTTTGTTTAACTGATGTTTATATGCATGGTGATTAGATGACAGTTTGGACAGGTTTAGGAAAAGCTTTTTTCCAAAGGCTATCTCACAGCTAATTCAAAGACCCAAGAATGATACATTTCATAATAAAAATACAATACTCGACTGTTGCAGTTTCACAGGAATTACTAGTCAATGTGTAATATACAAATAATCTACAATAATGGTCACTTGTCACTTCTGCACTTTATGTTACTGTTTACAGTCCACCTATTTATTTCTCTCTGTTACAGCAAGACTACTTCACTATATTTACCTTTATATGTAGTTTACTTTTTTATATATTTATATTGCATCGTCTTTTTAAATCACCAAAGTAATCTTGTTGCATTTAACACAATGAAAGTCTTTACAATAGCATCCATAATAGAGACCAAGAGTCATTATTTTTTTATTATTTTTTTTTCAAATAACTGGTCACTCCAAACCAGCCCACCCATGCCAACAGTCATTATGAATAAATCTGGACAACACAAAACATATATATCAAATAAATAATACTTACCTTCCCACAATTGTTGACCAGCACGGGAAAGGAACACAGCTGAAACACCCCCAGCGCTCGCATGAGCTCCCTGAAACTCTTCACACTGAAGGCGCTGGGGTCCTCAAAGGTCAGGTCCGGTGGGCGGCTGCTCGTGTGAGAATGGAGGGCAGGCAGGTGCCGACCATCGAAAACTTTGGGAGCTGCTCTTCTCAACAGAGGCACTGACAGGTGATGGAGCCGAACAAGAGTCGACATCACATATGATTTGATATTCAGAAGTAACCTATATGTCTATGTGAATAGCTTGGAAGTTAGCTATAATTTAACAAGACTTATGGATACAACACCATATGTTCTGAATTAGCTGGTTCAAATGTCCAAGTCTGTGTGGGAACTCTCCTAGGGAAACAGAAGTGCAATTAAACAAATTCACATTGTCTGAGTAACTTTTAATACATGGGGTCACATTTAAAATTTTTGTCACACAAGGAAATGCTTAAAGCTGATGATATTTAATATAAAAGATGAAAAAAAAACTCTATAAACAAAACTATTATTAACCAAGAAGATAGAGACAGATACCACCAAGGTTAATATTATCAGTCAATAGATCCATCATTTACCTCTAAATATCTGCAAGCATACAAATCTTTTGGCTAAAATCTTCAGGTACTAAGAATTAATTTCAAAGAAATATTTTAAAATAAAATACGACTTCAATATAAGATATATAATTTATTTGGGTGTACACACTCTTACCTCGCATTTTCATACTCAGCATTTTGGTTTCATGTTAACCTCTGTGTACACCCTAAAAAAGCACCACCTAGACTAACTGGAATATCTTGAATTTAATTAAAGAGAGAGACATACCTAAATGAGCAAAACAATCAGTACCATGTGCTGCAAATATTGGAAGTAGCAAAAAAATGTTTTAAATAGGGACTTTCAGAAATTAAGAGGGGGAGGGGGAGGGGTGGAGTCATTTTTTGGGTCACGATTCGGTTAATCATTTACTTTGGTTAATAAATGCCTGCAACACAGAAATTGGTTATAGACTTATAGTGCTTGAAGATTTCTTGTCAATGGGCATCATATTTATTTTTCTGTGTTTCTCTTGAAGCAAAGCAGTATCTTATGAAATCTCCATGTTTTTTTTTCAGGGGGGTGACAATAACACCGTTTCCTCTATGAAATTTAATCTTAGGTTGTCATGGACATTCACTCACAGTTTGGAGATTTTTGTGCCAGAAAATGGCTTTATTGTGTAGAGTTATTGTTCAACTGCATGTTAACAATTTACAGCACACAGTAATTAAAATCAAACTTCTTGCTCTGCCATTGAACTCAAAGCACTCTTGGCCCATGTACCCCTGCAAGTGTTTCCCAACACCTTTGTTTGAACAACTCAATGAATGAAGTCAGGAACCTTCAAAATCCATGTTGGTTGAGATTGCAGCGTAAGGTCAGTCAGTTTGGTTTGACCAGGTTAACTAAAACATAATTAAAAACCAGTGGATCAGTGATCTTGACTTCACCTGCTCATACAGCTTCTTTGCCTGCCATTCAGGGGTGCCTGGTGCAGTCTTTATGGTGGAAGGCAGCTTATTAGTTCTAATACTGGAAAACAGAACTTCACTTTCAAATTGCCCATGTGGAACAAACTGAAAAGTAGCACATGGGAAATGTGATAGAAAGGGAACCTGGAATGATATCATGGAGGGTCAGGAACACCTAAGGGAAAGCAGCAGGTGGTTTGGAGGAGCAAGTGAAATGAGCTCGAGTTGCTAAATGAGTTGTTTTGTCACCTAACAAATATATCAAAAAGTATTGTGTGGTCAGAAACTACCCGCTGTCCTGAAGAAGGAATCCATTTGTGCGGCTGAAGGTTCTCAATGTATTCCTCAGTGCTCCTGAAAAGACACTTACCTTTTAGACCTAATTAAATCAGATAATTTACAGTTTATGAACTGGCTTTGAATCATTTAGTTATAATCTCCAGATAATCTAGGTTGCGCTGATTACTTCAGGATTCGCTTTTGGCCAATAAAGCGATATCGTTTAGTGTTGTTCAGGGACCATGAAGTAGCACATCAGCAGCTCGGTTGGTTAATTCAGAGAAGTGACTCTGTTTAATTTTGTGATTCAACCCAGACATCCAGCTTGTCTACAAGTTGTCAGGTCAGCTTAGCAGATCCGCTTGCATAATTAGCCAAGGTCAATTACCCGATTGACTCGGTTCAGAGGCTAAGAAAGTTTATCACTGCATAATATAAGGCGGCTGCCAGTTTACCTAAGCCAAGCTCTTAGTCATAAAGCTAGTCATTAGGTGGTAATACACAATGCTCTTACCTCATTATCTACTGTATACTTAATCCTGGCCAGGAATAGAAGTAATACCACTCCCCTGGAATATATTAGAGTTAGCAATTTCCGAAAGCCAAGAAGTAATCAAAATATAATGCATTCAATGGGTGAAAAACGTAAACTACAACTCAAGATGAATACAGAGGTTAACCTAATTCTAACCTAACTGTATTTTACACATAAAAGACAACACATACACTGAAAGTAATACACAACCCAGCAGAAGATATACAGTAGTTATGAGGGATCTGCCTATAGATGCTAATCACACCTACCATGAGGCTACATAATGTCCCCGTGGCTGTATTGTGGACCCCTCCTTAAATACCAAACCCAGTATCTCTTTTGAAAGTACCAATAAACCAGTTTTTTTTTTTAGTCATTTAGTTTTTTTTTTTTTGGCAGGGTGGTGATCATTATCTTCTTGGAAGAATACTAAATGATCATTGGACAGCAAAATCCCCAAACTAAATCAATTTGGAATTTAAGTCTCTTTGTGTGCCAAGGAGGCAAGTCTTTCCAAGGCAAGATTGCCTTAACTTTCTATGTCTTTACAATAATAAGATCATTGTATTTCAAAACTCCCCCTAGTCCAAACTTGCATAGGCCTATAAACAGATAGTCCTCAGGTTAACATCTGACTTACAGACAACTCATATTAATGGACAAAAATAAAGTCTAGTAAAAATGAGATAAATACAAAGTTTCATAATATTCAATGCACAAATTACTTTGCAACGCACTGTGTACAGTACCGTATGTAGTTACTACAGTTTCTGACTTGTTTGCCAATTCAACTTAGACAGACAGGGAATGGATCTCGTTCTTAACCAGGAGACTGGTTGTAACTTATTAGCAGACCTGTATTATTTAGTAACTCACTATATATTATGATTCTGTGATGAGAAGCTAACTCCCAAGCTTTCAGTTGAGATAAATTTCATAAACCATGAAACCACAAAGTATCTTTAAAACTGACTATTCAAGAAACAAATTGTAGACTTCATTGACTGTCACACCATCATGTTGAAGAAATGTTTCATACGCTGCTTTTGACAAAAACAGTTGGGAGTAGCTGAATGAGTAATCTTTATTGCTTGGGGTTAAAATTCAATTGAGCACTCAGATACTTGGAAATATTTCAACTAAAGGTAAGAATGCTTATGTTCTTGCAAACTTCATTTTAAATGGTAGCTGTACGAAGGAAAATCGGTACCACAATGATCCTGACTATCAAACGCAGAGTCACAGCACTTATGTAAGAGCAGATCATTTTATGCCTTAGCCGGCAAAAACACAAATGTAATTAAATGAAGATCGTTCATTTGGGAAGTTCAACAGGACTTCAGGAGTTGCAAGACCAGGTTCCAGCTGATCAATATGAGCTTTGAGCCTGATTCCTGTAGCCACCTCTCTGGTATCCTTGTTTCTGTTGGTACCCGCCTTTCTGGTCTATGGGACAGAGAACAGACGTCAATGCAATGCGAACACACAGTAATTAGACACAATCCTACATTGTTACACAGAAAGCGGCAGGTACACACAAAGAGATGATTGACAAAGTATTAGAAAACCAGTTATGCAACAGTACTTGGAGGAGAGAGAGGAAAAGAGCTCATCTGCACTAAACACAGCAAATTTACATGCACACTAAGAAAATGAAATTAGTGTTAGTTCAACTAAAACCGCACTTCTACCGTATATGTGAACATGTTAGCCCGACTGAAATCGCACTAAATCGAATTTCTCTTTGTCAGACTAAGACACCCAGATAATGCAACTGGGAGTCGATTTACTCCTGCATGCATACGTTCAATCAGACTCAAACTGGCCTAGGTACTCTGCGCATGCTCCGTAGTCCCCCCCCACCCCGGCCTTTGTGCCAGTAGTAACAGATAAAAGCAGCACGGAGGCACAGCAAAGGATGTACAGCACATATGAAATGTACAGCGCTGTAAAGCTGGCCAATTCCCCACTCAACTAAAGGTGCTTTTTCACCGCACTAGGTACAGTACTTTTGGTACTTCAAGGTGTTGGTTTTCCACTGGTGTATAAACTGGTACTGGTGTCGCATTACATAACAATGCAAGGCGGGGTATTTTGTACTTATTTTGATAAATAGCTGCAATGTGTTATAGGACTGGACGTCGTGCAACATTAATACCAACATTATATGTTATGCACATCCAATTCTTACAGCACTAGTCGGCTAGATTAAGATCAGGCTATCTCTGACTTTCAATTCGGTATGAATATTACAGTGCAGGGAGTTTAAGTCGTGCTAAAACATTTTTACTTTGTCATAGGGAGAAAAAAAAACCGAGCAAGTTTTGCAATTTTAATGATTATTCATTTTCAAGACTATCTAATATATGTTTAAAAATCAGTTTAAAGTTTACCTCCACTGCTTTTGCATGTACACTGCATGCTTTCTCCAAGACAATCAATCATTTTCATCCTTGCTGTTTAAATCACTCCTAGATGGGTTTGTGTAAAATTTGCTGAACTCCTTTTTCGGTTTCAAATAGCCCAATATTTATTACGACAAAACCATATTGCAATATCTGAACAATTTCCAATACTGTGCTGCCATAATATATTATACAAAGTATTTTATTTCTTGTTATGATATCCTGATCTTGCATCTGTTCTTCTGACCACATCGCAATTAAAGCTTGTGTCACTCCATTTATCCATGCATCCATTATTATTTTTATTTTGTTTTTTTATGTCTGTGATGCAATAGATCAACCAGAAAAAGCCAAATACCAACAAGCCGAAAGGAGCCATATCGCCAGCTGTTGTAGTGGAGTCAAACATACTTCGGTCAATAAATCTGTTTCCCTCCCGTGCATGTATACTGGGGCAAGGACAGTAGCCCGATTAAATGCGTAGCTATAACCGTAGCTTGACTTAGATGAGCATGTCAACCGAGTGACATAACTGAGGCTTTAATGACTGCTTCAAATAAGAAGAGACGTTTCTTTAGAAGTAGAGAGATTAATAAATTAGTTAATGAACCCCTCTCCTTGGTAACCTGGTTTCAATGGTTTGCATCCACTGAAAGAACATTTTAGAAAGAGAGACAACAGCATGTACGCAAAAACTGACAACACTTGTCCGAAGCAGCTCTGCTTCACTCACAGCTCTGCAATTCCCCATCACATGGATTACAAGCAACCACAAAGACAGGAGTGATTACATTTATTGCACCATATCAAAGAAACGACAATGATATTTACCTCTCTGATAGCCCTGCTTTTGCTGGTAACCACCTTTCTGGTCTGGAATAAAGACAAAAAAAAATGATATGCCTACTGTTTAGATGCATAAAGCTGGGCATACACTGCGATTCTCGGCCCATTTTGAGCCGATTTTTCACTCGTGCGATAATTCTTGGAATCGGGCCAAATTTCAGCTTGATCGTGTATTGTATATCGCATAGTGTACAGGATTTAAGGAGCACCGATTCACCCCTCCTGACCAGGTCCCCACTGGCAATAGGATGATCGTGAGAAAATCAAA